TTAAGGTGAAATGTATCCGGAACGAGTATTTCCTACTGTTTACAGAGACTTATGACTAACAAACACCCACCCCCACAACCGTACATACATCGGCTCCATGGTTCAGTTTTCTCAACTCAGACCGGTCCATTCGATTGCTCATCCCAAGACGAAGCACTCACACTACAGGGCTTTAGTTTTTGCATCCCTTGCAGAGTATTTTATTCAATAAACTTTCCATTTATCATGCCTTATTTATGAACAGGAGAAAGCCTGCAATCCCCCGATTAAGTAGAGCAAGGCAAAGGGTTGGGGATATTTACCATGTTAGCAGGAAACTCTTCTCTCAAGTGGTTCACATTTCCGATGTAGTCAAAACAGTTTGCGGCTCTAGCTAAGCTGCCAGCATTTAGTTACTGCTGGAAACTACTGCACAGCACAGTGGAAAATTTTCTCAAATTAATTTGGATTCAATCTGATTTCCGGTCAACTTTCCGTTCCGATTTGCATTTAAACTCGTGTAAACATCAAATCAAGAATCTTAAGCAACCAAATACACGTGTTTCCTAAGTAATGCACCATTTCAAAACATCGCTCTCAAAGCCGCTCTACGGATGCTACACCCGGGATCGTTATTGTTGTTGATACTTGAGTAAATTGTTCGGCTTAAAGAAAACATACTCCTCCATTGTGCTCGCAAACCATCGAACTGAGTGAAGATTGTTACTTCAGTCTCCATCGTGTAGCGAAAGCCTATACAGCAAACGAGCACTGGCAGCATCTGAAGAAATTGGTAAATAGCTCTGAATTTGGAATTTTACACAAGGTAAACATCCTCCTAGGATAATGCAAATAGAAATTAATTAAATTTGGATAATGGCAGTTTTGGGAGAGGGATTTCGGCAATGCCTGTGATTCGGTGGATGGGTGGTCGGGGCTTGACGGAGGCGTGCTTCTGTCAATGAACAAAGGCTTGCAGTGACAAATAGGAATGGGTATTGAGGAAGTGTATTCATATTTTTAGATGGATCTACAGCATACTCGAAATAAGCTTTAGAAAATACGTCGTGGCACATTTTATTTTTTTGAATCTGTAAATAGGTATTTTTATTCAATAACAAATTATCGCCCGAATTATTTCACATTCATAACAAAACCGTGATATTTTTCTGGAGCACTTTGATATTCGAAGAATTGTTCTATCGACATTTTAATGAAAATCCATGAAGATAAATGCACCTTAAAATATAAAAAAGGCATGTTCACATTAAATTTTTTGAGTGTGCTTCGATACATGTGAAGGTCATAAATCGTTAGTAAGGGCTGTTCATAAACCACGTCCCACTTGGAGGGAGATGGCACTGGTTGGTGATTGTCTACGGTCCATACACATTTCCAAAAATTTTAACCTTAGACACAATTTTGGTTTTATGAGGAATCTGGAGACCATGTTTTAGACTTCTTGCAAAAACTGCAGCTTGGGAGAACAAGAACAATAAAGGTTAAATAGAAAATTGATGAACTTCGTGTATCAGGCTACTTTTGACTGATATAAAACAGGTAGGAGTGGCAGAGCGGAAACAAAAAGCCAGGAGTACAAAAACCGCAAATACACTGAAAGTTGTAACGGAAAAAGAATGGTTGGCTATAGTAGAGAAGATAGGGACACACTAGGAGAGTAAGAGGAGCAGAAAAATGTAAGAATGATCAACAAGACAACAAGGAGCTAAAAAGGTGGAGTAGGCAGTACTATAGTCACTATATTAATAGTCTGGCGGATAGAATTTCGATTTATCAAAAAGCGGAACCATTTCAACAATTGAAAAGGTACTATCAACTTTTATAAAAAAAACGTTGATTATTCTTTAATCACCAATCGAAGGTAAATTACCAGCATCATCGGTTAGGGGAAACTTTCCACAACCTAAAGATGGCGTTAGTTTGTGTAGGCGAGCTTTGAGTCACGAGAAAACGGTTTCCGAAATTTTGTTCGCAATAGCTGATGTGCTCTTTTCTGTTCTTGGTCGTGATTTGCGCGATTGGTTCCGCTATTTTACAGCTCAATTGGTTACCAAGATTCTATCCGCCAGACTATGAATATAGCGACTATTGGCAGTACATGTTGTACTTTCTAAAATCCGAAGATGAAGAGTACAAAACAGAAGAAGATTGCCGAGAAGGAAATGGAGGACACACACACACATTTTGCAAAGGAAGTGTAAATTTCATTCAACATGATGCACACAAATGGAGCGTCATTTATCATACAAGTTTACAGTTTGGATCATGGACCAAACTTATGAGATATTTCATATATTGTATGCAACAATCCGTTTTATTGAGCATCGTTTCTAGCAGGTTACCAGCTAAGATAAATAGTTCTCGATCGTTTCCTGCCGTTTATGAATAAAGTGAGTGCAGTTTGGGTTCAATATTTGTGGGTCCGCACCATTGGACATGTATTATGGCGAGTTTGTTTCAGTTGAAAAACATTCTTGTAAGCTTGTCCTCAATGTTGTTGATCTCTGTTGGTCGCGGCGAGATGGCCAAAATCGAAAATTGGGAATTGCGCAAAGCAAGCGCAATCGGCGCCGGTGGTGGCTTGGTAAGCGTGATTGCATCTCACCCCAAAAAGGCCTGGGTTCAATCGCAGTCGGCGCCACCGGGATATTCTGATGCATAAAATCTCTGATCATGATCTACTTGGTTGATCCACCTTGCCCCCTTCTTATTCCTGTTGGGTCGCTTTCGAGAACCATTTCCACTGGGTCGTCGTCCGGCATTCTTACGACGTGTCCAGTCCCCCGTAGTCGCAAAATGTTTGCAGTGTGGACGATGGATGGTTCTCTTAGCAGCTGGTGCAATTCGTGGTTCATTCACCTCCACCACATTCCGTCATGTACCACCGTAGATGGTACGCAACACCTTCCGTTTGAAAACACCTTCCGTCTGAAAACACCTTCCGTTTGAAAACACCAAGGGCGCGTGTATACTCCACACGTATAAAACAGGCCTCGCGGCCGTAGATGACGATCGGTCTAATCGGCGTCTTGTAAATAGTCAACTTTTTGCGGCGGCGAATTTTATTCGACTAGAGCGTCCTCCGAAGTCCAAAGTAGGCACGATTCCCTGCCATAATGCATATTTGATTGTCTCTGCTGGTATCAATCTCGGCGGTCACCAGTGAGCTCAAATACACAAACTTGTCGACCACCTCGATTTCGTCACTGTCAATCTGAACTCGGGGTAGGAGGCTAAAATTGTCTTTCTTAGAACCTCTTCCTCTCATGTATTTTGTCTTTGATGCGTTGATGGCAAGTCCAATCCGCCTAGCTTCAGCCTTCAGTCTGATGTACGTTTCCATCATCGCCTCAAAGTTCCGTACCATGATGTCGATGTCATCGGCAAAGCCAAGAAGCTGGATGGACTTCCTGAAGATCGTGCCACTCGTGTATCTCCTAGCTCTTCTGATCACACCTTTCAACGCGATGTAGAATAGCAGACACGAAAGTTCATCACCTTGCCGTGACTCACTTCGAGATTCAAAGGGACTCGAGAGTGTCTCCGATACTAGAACACCACACATCACTTGATCCATCGTCGCCTGGACCAATCGCGTCAGTTTATCCGAAAATCCGTATTCGTGCATAATCTGCCATAGACGATCTCGATCAATTGTGTCGTTTGCGGATTTGAAATTGATGAACAAATGCTGTGTAGGCACGTTGTATTCGCGGCATTTCTGCAGAACATGCCGAATAGCAAAAATTTGGCACCCATGGATCCCGCCTGGTATTGCCCCACGAACTCTCTTGCAAATGGTGACAGGCATAGGATTTGGGAGATAACCTTGTAGGCGGCGCCCAGCAGTGTGATCGCGCGGTAGTTGCAGCAATCCAACTTGTCGTCCCTTTTGTAGATTGGGCATACGACACCTTCCATCCACTCATGCGGTAATATCTCCTCCTCCCAAATCTTGGCAATTACCCAGAGCAGCGCTCTAGCCAGTGTTTCACCACCGTATTTTAATAGCTCACTTGGTAGTTGATCTACACCAGTTGCTTTGTTGTTCTTCAGCCGACCGATATCATCCTCAGTTTCTTGAAGATCAGGGGCCGGTAGCCTGTCGTCTTCTACGCGTGATCCAAGGTCTGTTGCCGTTTTCTGCTGCTTCACCGTTGAGGTGCTCGTCATAGTACTGCTTCCACCTCTCAATCACCTCACACTTGTTCGTGAGAAGGTTACCGTCCAAGTTCTTGCACATATCGGCTTGCGGCACGTAGCCTTTGCGTGAACTATTTAGCTTCTCGTAGAACTTCCGTGTGTCGCTTACGCGGTACAGATTTTCCATCGCCTCGCGATCTCGGCTTCCTGCTGACGCTTCTTCCTTCGGAAAACCGAGTTTTGTCTGTTCCGCGCTTGTCTGTATCGCTCCACATTCAATCTCGTGCGGTGTTGCAGCATTCTCGCCCGTGCTGCATTCTTCTCCTCTACTAACAGTTTGTATTCGCCGTCAAACCAGTCATTTCTTCGGTCCGGGATTGCAGTACCTAGTGCCACTGTCGCAGTACAACCTATGGCGGAATGGATATCACTCCAGCCATCTTCAAGAGTAGCTGCACCAAGCTGCTCTTCCCTGGGTAGTGCAACTTTCAGATGCTGCGCGTAATTCTGGGCAACTCCAGCGTCCCGTAATTGCTCAATGTTGGGTCACGGCGTTCGACTTCGATGGGTGTTATGCACCGTCGAGAGTTTTGAGTGCATCCATACTGCAACTAGGTAGTGGCCCGAATCCATGTTCGCCCTGCGGTACGTTCGGAGAAGAACTTCCTGTCGATTAGAAGGTGATCCATTTGGTTTTCTGTGTGTTGGTCAGGTGATTTCCATGCGGCTTTGTGAATATTCTGGCGGGGGAAAAAGTTACTTCGGAATATCATATCACGGGAGGCTGCAAAGTTCACGCATCGTTGGCGGTTGTCTTTTGGCCCGATTGCCGGTCTATACATTGCCTTCCGACCTACCTGAGCGTTCATGTCGCTGATGATGATTTTGACGTCCCGTTGCGAATAGCCGTCGTCTACGTTGATGATGCTGTAGTTGAAGAAACGGTCCTTAATCCTCAACTTGCACACCCTTGCGTTGATCGGCTATCAAGCAAGTAGTTGAAGTTTTTTGTAGATTTTGAAATACCTAATCGAATTAATGAAGATCCTTTTCGCTTTTTCATACCTTTATGTCTCCGGGTTTGAAAGATCGTTGGTTGGTGTGACTTGTTCTGGTGTAAGGGGCACCGCCATCGGGTTTTAACGGTTACAGCATTAGCTCCATCATAAGTAGTGTGTTAGGATATCAAGAAAACTCAGCTGCCTTAGACAGCCGTTTTTGCTTACTGAGCAAAAAATCGTGGAACAAACCAAAGACCCACCATATTAAAGAGTTTCATTGTCACATTGCTTGCTCTTCGTGTTTTGTGAAAATTATCGTCGTTTTCGTCGGTGCCGAGTTTGAATGGCTACAACAACTCGATAATAAGTGGTGTGATGTGATATGAGGGGCTTGGTGGCCTTAGAGGGACCGTCTTTGTTTTCTGAGCAGAACATCATGTGTTTTATGTCATAGCCCTCCACATTCAAGATTCGTCAGTCCCTTTTTTCTTCACTCGAGCCCATCACTGTAATTTAGCGTACTGTTTGCCGCTACATTCTCAATCCTTTTATCCAACATCTCAGTGATTTATCGAGAAAGTGCAGAGGACTTCTAGCCTTCCAACATTGCGGGTATCACGTCCACTTATTCCTACCCAATCTTTACTTGAACTGCATTCGGACGCGTCTGGTGCTGGTTTATTGCCTAATTTTAGATCACCGGGTTTTTCACATTGAGGATGATTACTAATCCAAAGCATCAACTGTTGATTTTCTGTTTAATTGCGGGTGATCTGGCACTAACGGAGTAGTGGACGCGGGCAGTCAATGATGCTTATGCTCATGCTTATGCTAGAAAGACTTTATGTAAATTTGATTAGAAGTGATCTTTTCACGCACTGATTTAAAAAAATTGAGCACGTCATTTTGTTAAAAAAATTATGACTGAATTTTAGCACAATTCAAGGCCAACAATTGAAAAGGCCTCAACTCCATTTTGTTAATAAACCCTGGCGTCGGTAGCATTGGTGATCAGCACGGAAAACAAGATCGACGGAAAACAAATCAAGGAAAATAAAAAGGTTTGTTTACAAAATAGAGTTGAGGCCTTTTCAATTGTTGATCTTGAATTGTGAATTATTACCCATTATAAACAATTATACAAAGTTTAATTGAAAACCGAAGACGGTCGAGTTTTTAAAGTTTTGTAAATTTCATGGTTCATTCCTATGGTCCCAAATTACCTGAATTGGAGCATAATTATTTCGACCCCTTGTTTATTTTAACGTTATGTGTCAGCAGGAAAATACGCGAAAATATATGAGCTAATGAGATCGACTCAAATTTGAGTGGTTTTCCACTCAACATCGCAAAAACGTACGTTACTCATAGACTGAGTAGAATTGACTTCGCTTTTCCTAAAAAGTCTGCTCGAATATGAAAAAAAGTCTAGTAACATTTTACTCAGTCTAGTAGTATTCTAATATACTGAATGAAACCTCTCTCGATTTTCCTCATATTCGTAAAGTTTTTCCTAGAAAGTTGAGGATAGTTTTACTCAGTCTATGAGTACCATACGTTTTTTTTTTGCGAATGTGGGTGCACGGAACTATAATTTGAGTTGGTTTAATCTGTTGTGTGACTTATTTTACAAGGAAAATCAGTGACGAGCCATTTTAAGATTCTATCACATGAAGAATAATATTGCACAATTAAGCCATGTGCATATTTTATTGCCAGTCCAGATAAAAATAAGCATTCAAACTGACAAATGTAGCATGCGATTAACTCGCAAACCCGCAACGTCTGATATCGAAAAATGCGAAAACTATCATAACTCCGTAATTTTTAAACATATGTTTTATCTATTCATCTCAAAAACCTCAAACTCCTTAAATTTTGATGAGCTTAGAATAATAAAAAAAAAAAAACTACAACGGACAGTCCTATGGGGTTGTACGCAATGGTAACGTAGGACTACGTGGTCTTATATAATGTTATTTGTTAGCTGCAACAGGAGCTTGTTTATAAGAACCTTTCGATATGAATTTTAGTTGGGACATGTTCAGAAATTTAACTCTTTTGGTATATCTTGGTGGCACTGAAAAGAGCCGATGGTAGTACAGGCTTAAAAATGATGGTGACGTGTAGGCAGCTGTATCAGCAAATCGGACCGGACATCCCATATTTTTCGGTTCAATGATTGGGCAATCGAAAGAGTTTCGGCACGTCTGCTGCTGGACAGGGGTTAAACTGTAGTCTGCGGCAGGTTGGAAGGCCCCAGAATATCGTTGATCTCCCTAAAGCTAAAGCTCCTCCCATTTTTAGTTTTTCTCTCAACAAGTTCTTAGGCTTTAGCAGAAAGACGCTTTTGGCGAATTTATGATCCTGTTTCACGTCATGGTTCTTCTTAATGCCTGTTCAGATAAATAAGTACATTTATTTATTTTCTATACTGCACTAAATTCAACGAGTAGATATGTTGCGGACTAGAATAATTAAAAACTTAATTAATAAATATTTAATCGAACAGCTGGAAAAATCTTAACGATTAATCGTTAATCGAATAATCGTCTTTTAGGCATCCCCAGAGAATAGTTCAATTTCACGTTGTTTTTTGTGGTCCTTCGAAAATGTCGAACAGCAGAATTGCAACCAGCAAGTGTAACCCAAGAACCAAAAGCGGTGCGATGCTAGTTTTCATTTCTATTACGACGAATGAATTAAGGGGCTTAGAAGCAGACCCCTCTCTCTATCAATTTTATTAATCGATTTCCTCTTTTGATGATGGCTATCATCCAGAACAACAAACATATCGAAGAATGTGTTTGCCGTCGAGTTATTAACAAAACAGAAAATCGATGAAGAGAATCGATCAAAATCACTTGCACCCCTGCTTCCAAGTTTGGTTACAAGATTTCAACTCTGGAGAGCATTCTGTGTAGTCGTTGGGGGCGTGTGGTTCTGAATATGGTGATGAATGTGCAAAATGTTATGCAATTGCATCCTCCCTATTCGCATACGCCCGCAGATCGGAGGCGAATGCCACTTCGACATGTTTGGTCTAGAAACGATTCTCTGATGACTGTGTTGGGGAAGCAGCCTGTGCATGTACATAGTTGGTGGATTTGTTAGTTATTTCAACGCTTTTGGACAAAGCTTGACATTTACTACCTTTTCAATAGTTTTTCGTTTAAAATCAACAGTCGATAGCAATGCTATTGATGCGTAGAAATATTTCTGATCGATTGGGTGATACAATTATTGCAATTGTTCCAGGGGCAGCTGAGTTATTAACGTTCAAAATCTTTCATGATTTCGTTACGTGTTCCATTTTCGGTTTTCACAAAGTGTACCTCCATATAGAAATCATAGACGTAGTCCTACGTCAAAAAAAAATTGTTTATTCTGAAAATATTTTGGATTGCAATGGAGTAGTCATTGCGCACGGGTGGGATCCCTGCGTTGTGTTACAGATATAACATTAAACAACACCACTTGCTTTGCCGTCCTGCCATGGCAAAGGAAGTTAAACTATTGATATGATTATTTATTCTTAACATTTGTATCCTTGTATCTGCCTGTTGATGTGAATGTGTGTATCGTCAGTAGGATATGTGCACATATATACGACGTGTTGCACAAGCAGGTATTTTCTAGACGTTGGGGATTTGAGAGCAAAAGTTGCGCTGGTGAAATAATCTGATGGCTACCAAGCCTTTGGGATTTTCCTTATTAGAGAGTTGAATAGATTTTTCTCCTTTAGCTTACTTAAATCTTTGGTTTTAATTAGTTAGGTAGGTTCCGATTCAACACATTGTAGTTTCATTTATATACCTGTGATCTTGACTTTTATACCTAGGGGATGAGTACTTAAGGGGGTTAGATTTTGATAAGTTCTTTAGTGGGAATGACACTGATGAAGACTGCACATTGTAGTCGAAATACGTATCTGTCATGGATACCAAAATTAATTAAGTGGAATTAAATGGAAGATAACCTTTTTTGCTGTTTTACTGTCACAGGTTGTTTATTTTGAACTATGCTGACTATAGTTTCGACCTACTGTAACAGAGGGAAAGTTGAGTTTGAAGTAGCGACGATTTCGAGGTGGTTTTTCATGACCTAGTAGCACTAGCTTGCCGTAAATCGGTTGTAGAAACGCCTGCACGACTGATTTCAGTCATAAACAAGGTGCAACCTTTTTGTGATAGAAATGTGCTACTTGGTGATATTGATATTCTTAAGGATTGACATGTTTATGTTAGTTCTAATGGAGAAAACTGACTCTGTAAAATGTATGCAATTTTCAATGTAGTAAATAGGTGTTTTATGTCCATAATTAAGAACACGCTTTCAATTTTCACCTTCTCTCAAACCAGCAGATACTGGTCAATGACAAATCCATTTCGACGAATATTTGGTATCCTAACCGATCAACAGGAGTATCACAGTTCGCGTTGTATCCTACCTTCACAACATCTCTCGCCAAATTCCCCAACCGATTCCATTAGAATTCCATCCGCATCGATTCGGAACGATCCTTCATGGTAGTCTTTATGACTGTTCGTTGGTTGGTTCGTTCATTCACTGCGTTCATTCAGCGACCGACCGATTTCTATTTTAGTGTGATGAGAACCCGTGACTTCCATTCTTAAAAGGATGCTTCACCACTGACCGCGGCCGGTTCGAGGGACGAGAGGTTGCTTCCGGTTGGTTGCGAGAAAAAAGCAATATAAATAATTCATCCTTGAAGGGTTTTCCCCAGTCTGAGGAAGGGGATGGTTTATGGGTCAACCCATGGTCGAGTATATGTTGTAGGTACAGGAATAATAAAAATTGAAAGCAAACATTGCTACCGATGATCCACAGCAAGAGCGCATACTTCGAGGAAGGAATGTTTTCGCTTCGTTCCGACGAGCAGTAATTTCCCCAGCTGACCGAAATCATTAGCATTTTCCAACTTCTTCATAGACTGCTAAGTGTTTTATTACCTTCGCCAG